AATGTGTTGCTTTATGCCCTGGTTTTTGCAGGTCCCACGAAATTTGCTGTTGCCCCGCTTCATAAGCACCCAACACCCTTCGTCCCTTTCCTCTGCTCCAGGTCGGTTCTGAATTTTGGGCCGCGTTTTCAGATTTCCTTTTTTAGCGGTGATTTGGGATTGCGGTTTCATTTGGCACAGAGGCGCACACACGAGCAGTGCACCTTCAGGGGCTCCGGCAGGAGGTCCTGCGTGCAGCACTGCCTTCTTAAGGGCGATGATTACCGAGGTAATTGGTGACGGCTCTGGCTCAATGCCAGCGGTGTTCAGACCGCGGCAGCAGGAGGAGGGGATTCCTCTGGAGGAAATGGTTTGACTCCCGTGAACCTCACAGTGACACGATGGAAAGGGATCTCAGTGCAGAGCACTCTGTGCTGGCGGTTGGGACTCAGTGTTCCCAGATAAATGAAGGGAGGGGGGGGAAGAAATGGTCCTGATGCACCGCAGGAACTCATGAAAGTTCTCTTCTGTTGAGAAGCCCCAGGACTGCAGCACCTGTCTGCGGGCAGTCGGTCCCTGCAGCTTTTTCCCCCTAAGTAATGCTTTGATGCTGCAGGTTCCAAAGGCAGATCTGCTCCTGGCGCGGCCGCTGTGCAGAGCTGCAGCTGTGTGCGGTGTGGAGCAGGAATGCTGGAATGACGGCGGTTCTGCTGTGTTCTTCCTTGGGTTTGTTTGCTGCCACCAGTGTGGGATGCAGCGTTTCTCCTTGGTTCACTGTGCTGTGCCCTGGGCTGTGCCTGGGAGGTCGGATGGGATCACATGCACTGAGACACAGTGTGTCCAGGGCCAACCTTCCCTGCACCTCCAGGTGTGCAATGCTGTCCCTCATCATGACCCTACCTCTGGGTAATGTTATCCCACATCACAGAGCTCACTGACATAATGGACTTTCAGTGGGCATTCTGGACCCAATGATGCTGTGTTTTGTATTGCTGGGGGATCAGAGCTCTGATGGATTGATCCATAGGGATTTCAGTCACGGCTGCCACGTCATTCCTGTGCCCTCCTGTGAAGAACAGCAGAACCGTTCTTTTCTCTATCCTCATTCCCTGCCCTCACCTAAACACGGCAACATTCTGCAGTTTTGTTACCAAAGCAGAGTTCTGCCTTTTGCGGGCGGTGTGTGCACAGGAACACACATCTCAGCGTTTGCAGGCAGTCACCAAAGCCAGGCCTCCTGCAGGCTGAGTGCTGGGCACACAGGGTGGGCAGGAGGGAGCGGGCAGGAGCAGCAGGTGAGCCTCCCATCCCACTGCACAGCGCCTGCAACGCCTGCAGCTGTTGGTGAGAGCTCCGTCTGAGCGGCCGCGGCTGGGACCTGAAGCATTGCCAGGCCCGTGTGCCATGGGGGCTGTAAAGTTGGGATTCCAGAGAGCTGTTGGAAAAACTGCTATTTCGGATGCAGCAGTAAATCGAAATTAAATTTAGCCTTGGCGCTTTTGATTATTCCAACGCATGTATTTTTAAAACAAATATCTTCCCAGCTCGGCGGCATTGTAGATGTATTAAAGCTGGAAGGAGCGGGGGGTGACTCAGAAAACCCTGTGATTCTCTCAGGCCTCTTTGCCTCAGCGCTGTTTGTTTTCTCATTGCCGGGAGCTCTGCCTGCAGATGGAGCTGCGGGGTGTCCCCGCCCCATCCCCGCGCCGGGCTGCCAGCGCTCGGTGCTCCCGGCGCCGCGGAGCGCCACGTCCCGCTCCTGCGGTCCCCTTCCCACGCAGACATTGCCGGCTGCAGCTGCAGCCCCACGGCCGGACCCTCTCACGGCATCGGGCCGCCCAGCCTGGCACCGCGCCCTCACTAATTGGTGCCAGAAAGTTGACGTGCAGGTAGCGTGATGGCACTGCACCGGGCTCTCACGCATCTCCTGCTGTTCCCCTTTAGAAGGGGGTAAGCATAAGCAGCACTGCCAGTCAGTAACGCCGTTTGGAGCTGCGCGGTTAGAAGGGCTCCTGCGGCACGCACAGCAGCGGCAGCGGCCACGTGCGGCTGACAGCAGCGGGTTCTGATTGCTCGGTGACTGCGCTGCTGCTGTCGGGTGGGAGCTGCTCATCCGCCGTGCCTGCAGGCGCTGCTCCGTGCCGTGCCCGGCCGGGTCCTGCCGGGGAGCTACCTGTAGGAGCTGGTTCACATCTGACGCTGACAGCCTCGGCTGCTCAAAGCAGCATTTATGGGCACCGTGAAATAATTCATTATGGCAGCTGGCAACTACAGAGGGAGTTTGTTTTGACTGGAATTAGTCGTTCTGAGGATGGGTCGGGGGGTTTCCCTTTAATGGCAACTGAACAAAGTTGACAAGGAGAGGAATGTTCAAAAGAACAAGTCCTGTGATTTCTGCCCGCTGCACCTCCTGCTCTGCACACCAAAGTGCTGCTGCTGCAGGGAAAAGGGCTCCAGCACTGCTCAGCCCTGGAGGTGGGGAGAGCTGCCCGGCTGGGCTGGGAGGGGTGGCACAGGGATGGGGCAGGGTTAGGACAGCATGGCCCCCACCAGTGAGCGCTGGGCTCAGTCTCAGCCCACAGCCAGGAGAAGAGCTGCATGTGGTGGAGGTGACCTCCTGTCCTCGTGCAGCACTGCAGGTCCCACTGCTTGGGAAGCAGCCTGGGACACTGCAGGAACTCGTTCTCTGCCTTTGGGTGAATCTTTGTGGCTTGGTAAAACGACGTGTCAGCTGCCAAATGGTGACAGCCAAAACTCGGGGTAATAGATGAGAAAACGTGTGGGAGAATCAGATATTGTATAATAGGTGGGGCAGGTGCCAAAACCCAGCGAGTGATGTGTGTCTCTGAGCCACCCGGGAGAGGAGAAACTCGTATGGATGGAGATGCTGTCGGTGCTGCTCGCTGCTCGCTACAGGCAGGCCTCATGAAGGCAGAGCTCTGAATGAGGCTGCCCAGCCCCAAAGCTGAGGGATGTGCTGGGAGCTGGGGGTGCGCAGGAGATGGGAGAGGAAAGCTGCAGGCACGCTGTGCTGCGGTACCCCAGCGGCAGTGAGGGGCTGCAGGCTTCCCTTCAGGGTGCACGTGTAGCATGTGGCTTGCAGCACTGCTCTTCTGGTTTGATCCCCCTCTGGGATGGGGAGGAGTAAATCGCAGCCCTCTGTCAGAGGCCACAGGCGCTCCCTGCTGCTGCTCTGCCAGGGTTTGGTTGCAGAACATCCAGCGCTTGGCCTGGCTTTGCAGCCCACCCTGTGCTCTGTGCAGATGTCAGCATGAAGCCTCACCCAGAGCCAGCACATTCCAAGTGTGGCTGATGGAAACCTTCCACACCTTAAACCCCGTGTTTGGACACAAGGAGTGCAGCCCTTCCCCTCAGCAGCTCAGCAGGACCCTTCTGCACCTCTAGGTCAGAACGGACAGAGCATCAGGTTTGGCATTGGCAGGGAGACAAACAGGACGAGCCCCGGTGAGCTCCCCGTGCACAGCACAGCACTCCCGGGCACCAGAAGCAGCACAGGCTGTGGTCTGCATCCACGGGCTCCATCCTATCCCACGAAGGGCTCCTTGCAGCTAGGGCTGACGACCTTCTGACAGCACGGAGGGGGCAGCGCTGCCCCATCCCAGGGTCCACACCTCAGGTGTGTGGCAGCAGCGCGACCGCCCCAACCCGCCCCCAGGCACAGCCTGCAGCTGGAGCGGGACGCCGAAGGAGCAGCGCCGAAGCGAAACCGAAGGCAGCTCAGAGCTCTCCCTGACTCCACCACAGCCAGGATCTCAGCGAGGTCCCTTCCTCCTACAGAACTCTCCTGAAAAGAGTAGAACGAGGGAAAAAGAAAAAAAAAGAAAGCATTGCCCATGGTGAGCTGCTATCCTCAGCGATTCCCACAGCGTTTCATTGCCCGGAGGGAGAAGAGCGTGAACCCTAGAAGGAAGAACTCGCCAAAGCGTTTAACATTTTTACATCTCGCACAGAGCAAAAGGTTCCCAAAAATCTTTAAAAATAACCGCGGGGATGTTTGTTCGGGGCCGAAGGGTGGGAGCGGCGGGGAGCAGCGCGGTGGGACGGCGGCAGCGCTGCGCTGGGAGGCCGCTCGGGGCTGCGAGGTGAAAAAGCGCCGGGGGGCCCCGCGTGGCCGCTGCTGCGGGGAAAGGCGGGCGGAGTTGCGCGGTGCTCCTCCGCTCCTTGAGCAGAGATGCTGGGCCGCCGGGGCAGCGAGCGCTGAGGAAACACTGCTCTGCCCCGCCGTGCGAGGGCCGAGGTCGGCACTGACGGCGAACGGTATCGAACGTAGCCGCGTATGTTTTCCTTTCTAGCGGTGGCGTAGCAGGACTCGCAGATAATCCCGAAAGAAAAACTCCTCGGGGGTCGCCGCCGCTCCGGCTGCCAGGCAGCACAGCGCGAGCAGCGGCACGCGGCTGCCATCCGCTCCCGCCGAGGCACGGGGACAGCCCCGGCGGAGAGCCCCGAACCCGGCATCGCTCAGGGACGCGCCGCTCTTTCCCAGCGTCAGAGCCCAAAGCCGCCGCTGCCGGCCGCCGCACAGAGGGGATCCTCCTCGGGTCGGAGCTCCCCGAACGTGGATCGGGGTCGGGGGCCGCACGGCGCGGCGCTGCCGCTCCCTCTCGCGGCCGCTCCGAGCGGGCGGGACCTACCCCGGTCCCATCCGTGCCCGCGGGCGGGGCGGGACGGAGCCGGCCCCCTCCCCATCCCTATCCCTATCCCCGCCCCGCCCGGGGCTGGGGGTCCTCTCCGCGCTCCCCGTGCTGGAGCCGCGTGCGGCAGCGGCGGGGCCGCGGATTGCCGGCCGGACGGCGCTCCTCTGCCGGCTCCCCCGCGTGCCGCTCCTCGCGTTGCTGTCGCGTCGGGACCGCGGGCTGCGGATGCGGCGGGAGCCCGGGGTGCGGCCGGGGGGGGGCCGCTGTCGGGGGGCTCTTCGGGCACAGCCGCCCGGGGGGGACGCGACGCCGCGGGGAGCGGGGTCGTGAGGGGCCGGGAGGTGCTCGGCTCTATGCGGGGCGGCCATGGAGAAGTTGTACCTGGCGGGGAGCGGCCTGTGGGCCAACGGCACTCTGGGGAACGGCAGCCTGCAGCCCGAGGACAGAGCGACCGTCAGGAACGGCACCGCGGACCCCCTGAAGCGGAACGAGGACATGGCCAAGGTGGAGGTGACCGTGCTCTGCCTCATCCTCTTCCTCGCCCTGAGCGGCAACCTGTGCGTGCTGCTGGCCATCCACACCACCCGGCAGAAGCACTCCCGCATGTACTTCTTCATGAAGCACCTGAGCATCGCCGACCTGGTGGTGGCCGTCTTCCAGGTCCTGCCCCAGCTCATATGGGACATCACCTTCAGGTTCTACGGCCCCGACTTCCTTTGCCGGCTGATCAAGTACTTGCAGGTGGTAGGGATGTTTGCCTCCACCTACATGCTCCTGCTGATGTCCCTGGACCGCTGCTTGGCCATCTGTCAGCCGCTGCGGTCCCTGCATAGGCGGGCGGACCGGGTCTCCGTGCTGCTCACCTGGCTGCTGTGCCTGCTGGTCAGCATCCCCCAGATCCACATCTTTTCCCTGCGGGATGTGGGGAACGGAGTCTACGACTGCTGGGCGGACTTCATCCAGCCCTGGGGACCCAAAGCTTATGTCACCTGGATAACCCTCATGGTCTACATCATCCCAGTGTTGATGCTGAGCGTCTGCTACGGCTTAATCAGCTTCAAAATCTGGCAGAACGTGAAGCTGAAGACGGCCCACGGCCCCCCCGGGGGGCTGAGCTCCACCGCCCGCGGCGGAGCGGCGTTTGCCAGGGTCAGCAGCACGCGGCTCATCTCCAAAGCCAAGATCCGGACAGTCAAAATGACCTTCATCATCGTGCTGGCGTTCATCGTGTGCTGGACGCCCTTCTTCTTCGTGCAGATGTGGTCTGTGTGGGACACCAACGCTCCGCAGGAAGGTACGTCCTCCCCCCGCGGCTGTGTGCGTGCAGGGACTGCGGCGCTCCGGGCCGGGGGCTGGGAGAGACAGCAACGTCTCGGGGGCTCGGGAGTCTGGAGGGGAGAGGAGAGGTTCTGAGCGCGGAGCAGCACCGGGAGAGGCGGCGGCGGCTGCCCCTGAGCTCCCCTCACTGGAGCCGCGCGTCTCCCGTGCCCAATCCTTTTTTTTTTTCCTGCGGTACCGCTCTGTCGCCGCTGACTTCTCTGCTTGCAACTCTTCTGCCCTCCCGTCGCTCCCCTCTGTTCTCACCCGCCCGGGCACTGTGCTGCTTCTGTATGGCTCTGGATGAAGCACAGGTCTTCCAAAAGCCCTCCGATTTAGGAGTTTTGCCTCCTGGGTGCGCTGTCACCGCTTTGCTATGTTTTAAGCTCGGTGCTGGCTGCTGCTGCCATCCCCGGGGCTGCAAGCAGTGAGACTCACCGCCCGGCTCAGATCCGCGTGCTGTGCGAGCCGCTGCTGCCCCTGCACGGGAGCGTCCCAGCACCTGGGAAAAGCCGCGCGCGGAAAAGCTCTGCACAACTTTGTGAGCTGAGAGGAAGGACAGCAAAGTGCGCTCAGGGGCAGCGCTTTGGGCACCAGCGGCAGTGCGCAGCGTGGGGCTGCCGGAGGCCAACACCGGGCTGCGGCTCTGTGCTCTGCGGCTGGGTCCGGTCCGCCAGTACCGGGCTGTTGGTGGCACCGCGATGTCCCCGCAGCCCTGCCGCCGGAGCAGCTCTCCTGCCCGGCTCCAGCAGCCCTCGCTGTGCCTTTTTTGCTTCTCTCTGCTCACTTATTGCAGGTGTGGAAGTTCAGCACAGCTTTTTAAGCCGTCCCGGATGCTCCCGACAGCTCTCTCTTGGTTTTCCGAATTCTGTCTAGTCCGAATGTCTGATTTTCAGACGCTGACGATGCCGTGTCTTTCACTGTATATCCAACCCGCAGCCCCGAGGGCTTCTCCTGACCCATCATCGAGCAAACGCTGGTGCTTTGTCCTCAAGGCTGCGCGGAGCACCGGGCTCTCAGCTGCAGCTGCCCACAGACCGCGGCCGTGTCTGCCTCTGCTGGCCCCTGAACAGAGCAGGGAGTCCCTCAGTGTGACATCCCCATCTCCGCCATGTAATGTCCCCAGCCCTTGCCCTGGCAGGCCGATCTGGCTCTCGGGGTGCTCCTGGGGCGCTCTTGGGGGCCTAATGGTGCAGCCATGCACTACGAAGTGCAATTTATCAGCACCAGGGGCAGCAGAGCTGAGTCCGCGAAAGATGGATGTATATCTTTTTCTAAAGTAGTCTGTAATGCTGTGATGTGCCTCAGTTCTCTCACCACGGACTTTCAGCAGTTTCCTTTTATTAGGAGCAGCTGGAGCAGTTGTCACTAGAGCAGGAATTATGGGTGAGCGGGTTAAAGGGGAATTTGGAAACCGGAGCCACAGTTTGTGCTTTTCTTCTGGTTTCAGAGGTGTGAGCGCGTTTTGGCTGAGGCGCAGAGGGAGCAGGCACAGCCAGACCCGGTGCTTCCCAGCAGGGCACAGGGAGAGCAGGGCGAGGGCACAGGGCTGGGGGTTGGCGCGACTCTGGGTCAGCAACCCTGTTCTGATGGGACGGAACCGATCTGAGCTCCGGGCCGTCGGGAGGGAAAGCGCTTCGCGCCGAGCCAGCGCTGTGCCGTGGCCGCGGCTCCGCCCTCCGCCCGCTGTTTGCGTTCGCAGCGGCAGCGCGGGGCCGGGGGCCCACAGGAAATCCTCGCGCCCCGCACCCTGACGCGCTCTCTCCTTGCAGCCTCCCCCTTCATCATCGCCATGTTGCTGGCCAGCCTCAACAGCTGCTGCAACCCCTGGATCTACATGCTGTACACGGGGCACCTGTTCCACGACCTGATGCGGCGCTTCCTCTGCTGCTCTGCGCGGTACCTGAAGGCTCGGCCGGCCTGCGAGCTGAGCGTGGGCAGGAAGAGCCATTCGTCCTCCTTCGTGCTCAGCTGCCGCAGCAGCAGCCAGCGCAGCCTGGCGCAGCCGCCCTCCACGTGAGGGCACCTGGCCGAGTGCTGGGAAGCGCTGGGACTGCGGTGGGGAGTGCGGTGTAAATAAATAGGGGTGCAGACGTGTGTGCGGGAGAGCGCGGGCAGCGCGCCGCGTCGGGCCGGGCAGCGGCGAGGAGAACTCCGTGCTCAGGGCTGTGCGGGGCTGAGCAGCGCCTGGCCCGTTCCCACCGGCGGCTTTAATGCACGGACCGTCGTCGGAGCCCCTCCTGCCTCCTGCATGGAGCTCATCTGGGACGGGGCTGAGTAACGCCAGCGTGGGACTGGGGATCTGTGCAATAACGCATCTGCTGAGCGTGCTCCAGGCTTCTCCTAAGGCATCTGGGTTACACTGGGGCTCCGTGGGGTTGAGGAGCTGCCATCTGGTCCTCCGAGGCCAAGCACTTGTTCTGGGTCTGCAGCTGATAGCATTTGATCTTTTCCACCAATGCAACCTTCTTGCTTTGTAACGCACAAAGTCATGCTCACAGCATGGGTTTTTTAATTGTTAAGGAATACCTGTAAATAAAACTTTCTGGCTGTGTCTTGATGGAGGGGAGGTGCAGGAGGAGCACTGTGCCAAAGGGCAAAGGCCATGGATGGCTGTGATGCATTTGACATGGCGTGAGGGTGCTGTTGAGCACAGGGCAGTGCGCTGAGTGCTGTGTGCAGTGTTCCATGTGCTGCATGAGGCAGCGCTGAGGGGGGCCCGGTGCTGCTCTCCTCACTGCCTGCAACCCCGTGAGTGCAGCAAGGCTCAGCCTTAGCACTGGGAGTGGGTACAAAAAGCGCACTGAAATCTGTACCAGTTTCTTTTTTCACTGTCACCAACACATACATTGTTAACCTGCCATGCTGTGGCTTTCCTTTCCATGTTTTTCCAGGAGCTTCAGTGAGCTGTTAGCATGCACAGCCCATCTCAGCACCTTCCACCAGACTGGTTTAAGGCATTCCCAAAGCACACCGTTTTTCCCCGTGTTCATCTTCTTTCTCCTGGCAGTGAGGCATGGTGGGGATTTGTCGCCACAGGAGGACACCAACCATGACCTCAAAGGGCCAAAGGGAATCAGAGGCACTGCGGCAGGGCGGTGTGGGCTGCTTGTGGGGCCGTGGGGGTGGGAGGTGGTGGGAGCTGGGCTGGGATTTGGCTCAGGATGGGAATAAGCAGAACAACGGCAACACTACAAAGAACATAATTCCAATGTGGTTTTAAATTCTTTTTATTTCAACAAAAGCCTTTAAAAAAATACCTGTGATAAAGTGTTTTCAGAAACATTTTTTTCCTACAAACATTCAAATATCCTTCACTACATGTAACTGCAGCCACCCCGAGGCGCAGTGCTGTGCAGCATCAGTGCAACGTTGCTGAGGGCAGCAGAGCTCCACGACCCCGCAGCAGAGGAGCACCATGCAAACTGTGCCTCCCTCTGTGGCATCGCGTTGGGAGGGACTTTGGCCTCAAATACTTGTTGGGAGCAGAGGGAAGAATAAATTGAGAATAATATCTGAACAAAGAGACCTCCCGGGCCCCAGGGCAGCACAGCGCTCGGGGCAGCACCAGCAGAGCACACAGGTGCCTCTGTGTCCTTGACATCCCAAGGACAGCTGTGCCCAGAGCCCCGGCACGGCAGCAGAGACCCAGCGGGCACTGTGGCTGCTCGGGGACCGGCACAGCGTGGCGGCTGTGGTGCTGCTGGGATTTAGGTTTCCTTCCGCAGCACGACCCTGACGTTACTGCAGATCTTGGAGAGCGCCTCGAAGAGCGGATCGCAGAAGGTGTGGATGCAGAGGGAGTAGATGCGGCTGACGCACTGGATCTCGATCAGGTAGCTCTTGATGCAGGGCACCACCGCCCAGATGTGGCAGAAGGAGATGAGGGCGAAGAGGAAGCCCCAGACCACGGCCAGGGGGATGCCCAGCACGGCCGAGAGCAGCCGGTAGCACCAATACTTGCTGACGGTGAAGGTGGTGTAGCTGCTTTTCCAGACACCGTCAAAGCTGTACGTCCCCACGGGCTCAGCTATCACATCCTCAAAATCCACCTGGCACGGGATGGAGGGAGGGAGCGTTGGCACAAGGCGAGGTGCAGGAGCTGCTGTGTGTGGGGAAGCTCAGGGGGAGGGATTGGTTCTGTCACAGGGTGGGCACAGACACCGGGCCCAGGTTGGAGGGGCCTCGTGCCCAGCAGTGCACTGTGCCCACAGGACAGGACATGGCCACAGGCAGGGATGGGCACAGCCATACTTGAGGAAGACAGAGCCCATTCCTATGCTTTTTTAGCATTCAAGGACACGGGCTGCCCACACGCAGGAGGTGTTGGTGCTAGTAAAACCCCACAGTGCTCCTGATCTATGATTTTCTTGTTATACATCTGGAGGTGAGATACCCGGTTCTGCCTGTTTGCGTTCTGCTGAAGGGGGAGGGATCAGCCTGGCCATGTCCTTGCAGGAATATCATTGCTATACGCAGCCATTGGGAGCATTGCAAATATTCCTAAGAGCCTCCAAATCATGCACAGACCTTGCTGCATTGGAAGCCATTTTTAGGGAATGTATGAACCAAGCCAATTTTCTTCAGAAGAAGCACCTTTCCTTGGTTAGGCTGACCTGTCTGCTTATGCATTTATGTCCAACTGCAGCATCTCTTCTGTTTTTGAAAGCTCTTTGATCATAAGGTCATTCCGCATCACCTTTAATTTCCTGGGGCTGGCAGCAGGCACCAGGACAGACACAGACATGAGCTGGGAAAGAACAGCCCTGTGTGTGGGTGCGGGTGGGCACAGGGGAGCAGCTCCAATCCCCTCCAGACCCTGCCCAGCTGAGATCCAAACAGGTTCCAGCTGCCTGGCCAGCTAATCGGGATGATTAGTGAGGGCAGCAGCAGGCTATAAGAAGGAGTCTGCCCTTTTCTCTTCCTTTTGCTCCCTGTGTATCAGGAGGGGCTATTGAGGAGAGATAGGACGCAGGCTGAATGCCGAGCTGGGCTCTGCCCCACAGCCTTCAGCGAATGCCCCCAGGCTCTACCTGCACATCCTGTGCCACTGCTGGGAGGAGGCTGGAGGCTCCAGGGCTTTGCCATGCGCTGCTGCCGTGTGTGTGCCAGGACTCTGCTGCCTGCAGGTGGGTGCCCTTTGCCTGTGTGGCTGCTGCCTCCCCCTGCACGGCTCTGATGTATGCCCAGGGTGTTTCCTGGTGTGCTGCTGCCCACTGCGGAGAGGCTTCGGCTGCCCATGTTATTCCACAGTACTGGGGCTGTGGCTGTGCCTTTCCCTGCCCAGCTTATCATCTGGTCTATTTTTGGGTCTGGAAGAATGTGAGGTGGCTTCATCAAATGCTTTGAAAGCAGAGGAAGCAGTGTAATTACATGAGTTGATGGGCTGGAAAATACTCTGCAGGGTTTTTGGAGCTTGAGTGGAAAAAGGGGATGGGAATGGCCCCTGGTTGGGGGGAGGCCTTGTTGCAGGCACTGGGTGCTGCTCCTGCACTGCATCCCCTTCCCACGGCTGGCCCTTATCCCCAGCAGCTCTGCTGCACAGAGGCCTGCAGGCACCCCTCACCCCTGCAGGTGCCCTCCTATGGCTGTCACTGCGCAGCCCCTCAGGGCACTGCTGGGGCTCCACTGGAATACAAAGCATTTCAGCACACAAATGCTTTTCACTGGTGCCATCAAGGTCACAGCTTGCTCAGAAGTTTTGTGAGCAGCTTGGGCTGTGCCATCCCTCCTGGTGTGCCGTTTGCTTTGATCTCAAAGCAGTTTTAATAAAACTCATCCCTCTCCTCCTTGCCCCACTTTGGGCCAACCTTACCCCAGTATTATTCTAACAAATCCCATTACATGGCTGACAGAGCGGACAAGTTTCAATGGTCACTGCTTAGGAAGAGGCGTTCCTTTTCCCTTTTCTCTCTCCTCTCCCCTTTTCAGAGACGTGTGCTCCTTTTGATCAAAAATAGAGGCGGGTTGCTGCACCCCATGCTGGCATGCAGGGGAAACGGTCTTCTTGCAAACAGGACAGTGCTTATCTCAGTGCTCTGCTGCTCAAACTGCTGAGCCTTGAACATTAGCAAGATCTTCACAGCTTTTTTCAAAGGTTCCCTTTCAAGCAGTGGTATGGGCTGACCCCATTTTATTTTTGGCTTCCCACTGCTGTGACCAGTGAGGGCAGCCCCATATGTTTTCAGGCCAGTGGAGACGGGCAGTGCGTTCAAGGAATAGAACACAGCATCAATGGGGCCATGTGCACCGTGGGGGCAGAGGCTGTTCTCCTCCCCCTGCCACCTGCAGTGCAGCCCCTGGCTCTCATGGCAGTGATGAAGACCTGGCTGCTTACACTCTGTGCAATGGGAAGGGAGCTAGTCTCCTAAAAGCAGTGCTCAGGAAGTCCTTACCTTTACAACGTCTTCGTTGATCCGCTTTGGATCTCTGTTCACCAGGTCGATCTCCTTGGTGTGCTGGTCCTTGATGATGATCCTCTCCTCCAGCTCTCTCTGTTCCTCAGCCATGGCTCTGGCGCTGCTGGGCTGCAGTGCTGGGGCAGTGCAGAGGGCAGGCTGTGAGAGCTGAGCAGCTGCCCCACGCCCTGGCTGTGCTCCAGGCTAAAATTAATGTCGTGCCGCATTGGTGCCCTTAAAGGGGCTGTGCTGGAGGGACCCTGTGGCCTGGGGGGGGCTCTGGGGGCTGACACATCCTTGGCTAAAGCTGCTGTGGTGTAGTTTGTAGCAGATGTCCTCAGCACACATTGTGTGGGTGAGTCACTGGAGCAGGTTGCATGGAGAGGCTGCGGATGCCCCCTCCCTGGCAGCACTCGAGGCCAGGCTGGATGAGACTGTGAGCAACCTGGTCTAGTGGGAGGGAGGTATCCCTGCCTATAGCAGGGGGTTGGAACGAGGTGATCTTAAAGGTCCCTTCCAACACAAAGCATTCTAAGAGACAGGAGCAAAATGAGTGGGAAATAACCATGCAAAACCTGTGAGTCTGTGTGACAGTAAATGGCACTGGTAGGGACGGGAGAATGCTGTGAGGTGAATGAGTGCGGGGTGTTGGGCAGATGGCAGCCCTGGCTGCTGCACTGGGGCAGGTTTCAATAGCCATGTCCTGGTCGTTCAAGCTGAGCTTTCACCAAAGCTAAACATGGAGATATGGGCAGTGATGGGTGCTGCTGGGAGACAAGCAAAGCACACAGTGCTGGTGCGTGTGGGGCTCAGGGCTCAAGGAGTGTGACAGCCATCTCATGGAGAAGCAGTGCTGCTTGGCCGGGGCCCAGCGCTGGGTTTAGGAGTGCAGCTGCTGTGTGGTGGGGAGCTGGATCTGCTCTGCTCTGCCCCACGCTATTGCCTGCCTGCCAGTGCAGGGCTGCTGCAGCGGGGTTGTGTGGGGCCTGCAGAGCTGGGTGCAGCCCCATGCCCTGCAGTGTGCGTCATACTCTGCCTTTGGGCTGCAGCTGGGTGCTGCAGGCATGCGGATCCGGTGTCCAGGGTGTGGGAGGAGGAACATGAGAGCTGGGCTGTCTGTGTGCAGCCAGCAGCTGTCTGAGGTAGTGCTGGGAGCTGCTTGTGGGGATATAAATAGGTTGGGGTGCTGTCGGAGTGCAAGTGGGACACCACACAAGTCGTGATGCACAGCTGGCAAGGGGTGAAAAATAGTGCTGGTTTGTTAGCAATTAGTGGCAACCAGGAGCTCAAGTGCCATCTGTAGGCAATAATGCATTTGTTGCATGTCTGCCTTGCTGGAGGAAGGGGGCTGATGCAGAATGCTGCTGTGCTGCATCCAGGTCACACCAAAGTTCCGACTTTTCCTTTTGGGATGTTTGCTAGAAATCCGACAGGCTTCTCTCTGCAGAAACCAAGCTCCCGTTGCCCCCCCAGGATTGGCCAGATGTGGTCTCAAAGAGGGAGTTTCTTTTCCTAAAGTGATTATCAAGATCAGAGCTGGCCTGTGGGCTGCAGGGACCGTGCTGTGAATTCAGAAGCCTTCTTAGAGGTCAGCAAAATAACCTGCTGCTTGGGCCCAGCCAGTGAAGTAGATTCCTCTAGAGCAGAGAGGAATAAATGCAAAAAAAAAATAAAGTCCAGAGAAATCAAAGTTCTATGGAAAGAAATAGATGACAATGTTGGGGAGCAGCATGGCAAAACAGGGAGCTCGTGCTGTGCCCTGAGAGCACATGGCATGGGGGTGGAGGGACAGCAGTGCTGGAAATCTGGGTTGGGGCAGAGTGGGGGAAGGACTGATGCCCAGCTTGGTCTGTGTCAGGGGACAAATGAACAGAGCTGTTGCAATTGAAGGGAAGCTGTCGCCAGGTGGGATGGAGCATAAGGGCCTGGTGCTTGCAGTGCCTGGAGCAGAGCTCTCCTTGCATCTTTTCTAAAAAAGCAAAGCAGAGGCTCCTTTTCAAGCCTCCTTCCTGTGAGCTCCTTTGGGCCCTCTCTCTGTCAGCGTGTGGGGTCTGGTGGGGCTGGGTTGGATCTTGCTGCTCAGACTGGGTGCCAGGAGCATTGGGGCTGCACTGGAGGCTTAATGGCATGGCCAAAATAAGTGGCTCCTGAACAAAAGTCTGAGTAGTAGCTCTGTCGTGTGCAATGTCAATTAAAATTAAATTTTGAGGTGGAAGTAGAGAAAAACGTTCATTTATCATTTGAGTCTCCTTAGTTAGTTTCAAACCAAAGCAGATTGCCCTTTAAAGGAGAGCAAAACCTGTGGTGTTTGTACACCCGTGAGGGCATGGATTCAATATCCAAGTCATTCTCCATTCCTGCCTGTGTTACAGGTGCTCAGGTGGGAGCTCAAACTTCTCACAGGGCAGTGGGTGCTGTGTGCCACAGGTGCCAGGAGCAGAGGGACAGCTGTGGGAGCCTCTCAGCACAGAGCAGGGAAATGGCCTGCAGTCAGCAATTCTCCTTGGGTTGAACGGTTACAAGATTCCTTTGGTGCAGATGTCCTGGCTCTCATGGGGCTGCAGCTGGAGCAGCTCTGTGCTGGTGGTGTGACAGTGCACCCAGTCTGTGAGCACCGCGTGGATGTGGGATGAGGGCAGGCAGCTGGCAGTGGGCACTCAGGTACTGCATGTAGTGCTGGGTTTGATCGGCCCAGTGCAATGAGCATCACAGGAAACGTGCAGCTGTATTTGTGGTGCCATAGCAGCTCAGCAGGCACTACCTACTTCCTAATCACAACCCTATGGCTGTGGGCAAAGCTGTGTTTTAAATGTTGAATAAATGTCCTATTTCAAGTTGGAAGGGAATAATGAAGTGAATCAGGTTCTGGAGCAGTCAGGGTGCCTGAGCAACACAGCTGCTCCTTCCGTGTCCTCAGCTGTGGGGTCCTGGCTGGTGCTGCAGGGTTGGTGAAGCCTCAGGGTCTGGGGGCTGTGCTGGGAGAGCAGAGGGTACCGGGCTGAGCTGCTCACAGCACTGCTGAGTGGTGCTGAGCCTGCTTCAAGGGCAGCCCTCGCTTGCTGCAGGCTCAGGGAGCTGCCGTATAGCAGCCTCTGCCCTACTCTGCCTGTTCTCAGCTCCTCTCAGTTGCAGCGCTTATCTCTCTCTCCAGTACTCTAAATTCTTCTGGATTTTCATTTTAAAATAGCCTTGTTTGGCTTTGCCTTATCTAGTGGGACCTTCTCTTGATTTATCACTTGTCATACCCAATTGGGTGCTCCTCTAATCAGATTTAACCAGTTCGTGTGCTGCTGCTGAGAACTGGGGTCCTATCTCACCACTGGCTATTTATTCTGGGGAACGAGGCTTGATTAGTTTTTTTTCCTTTAACCAAAACCCATGCAGCCATAGAATAATGTTTTCCCTTTCAGCAGAGATGAACTGCTGCAGTCTGTGAATCTGGGCTCAGGTAGTGAGGAGGGACAGTGCCAGCACATGGATGGTTGTGGTCACTGCTCAGGTGGGAGTTTTGCATCACACTGTAGTGAAGGCAGCCAGAAACCTGGCAGCTGAAGCTGTCTGGCAAGCACATGATCCCCCCCTAGCACCTGGGAAACACTTTGCTACCCCTGTAGGAGTGTCTGACAATTCCCTTCCAGCCCAGTAGGATGTGTGGGGTTCTCTTGCCTATATGCTGGTAGAGATATGTGCAGAGATTTGTGGCCCAAGGACTGTGCCAGAAGCCCAGCCCTTCTCTGAAGGCAGCTAGGGTAATCTGAGCTTTGAGTAAAACACTGTGTGAAGTGTTTGTACAAGGCAGCCAAAAATAAAATGCAACCCTGAAAAGCAAGGCACGTTCCCCCTCATAAATGAGAGAAGATGCTGCTTTTTGGGTGATGTCATTGCAGAGATGTGCGGAGCGCTGCGCAGGGCTGATCAATACTGTGGCATGCCCAGAAGGCTCCTGCTGCACACAAATCAAATTGCCCTTTCCAGCCCTGGGAGGGAGGTTAGGCCCTTAATAACAGAGCAGAATATAGAGGCCTATTTCTAGCACCAGGAGCTTTGCATGTGAAAAGCTTCAGCTGCTCTTCCCTCTGTTCCTGCTCCTGACATATTGTAGCTCTGCCCCACAGCTGTTGCCCAGAAGCTGAATATTGTGATGGCCCCAGGTGCCCATCCAGGTGCTGGCTGCTTCCCCCCAAAATAGCAGTGGTAAAGCCAAGGCTTTATTTGGGGCTCCTGCGGCTCCAGCAGGACCTGGGTGGGTGCTGCGCTGAGCGGGGCTGCTGTAAGCTAGAAGGAATGCTGTCAGTCCTGGAAGGATCTGTGTCCCCACTGAGTGCGCTGCCAAATGCAGTGCGAAGGCCATGGCAGCTGCAGCCCATGGGAAGTGCTGCCCACTGCCTCAGGGGATGCTCTGTGCACAGCGTCACCTAAGCAGCTCAGAGGGTGCTGCCCAGACTGAGCATAGGTGCAAACTGTGCCCAGATCTGTGCAGCACTGCGGTCACCCAGCCTTAAAATCTGCTACACGTGGCAGAGACCTCGCTCTGTGGGAGCTCCCGTGAGGACCCAGCTGGGGGTGGAGGGCTGGGGGCAGTTCCTGAGCGAGCTGGAGGTGCTGTTGCTGCTTGGAATTTAAAGCTCAGCACCTTGTGCTGTGCTGTGGAGTTTGGGTGCTGCGGCAGATCAGGTGCACACTTCACCCTGCTGAGAGCTGTGCTTTTTTCAGTGCTTCAATATATGGTTTTCAGCCTGATTTATTGCCTGGGAAGATGGGTTTTGGAGCAGCAATGAGACTTGGTTATTGCTAGAGCCTGGTGTCAGCTATGCTCTAATTCCTGCCCTCGATAACAGGTAGCACCATGAGTGCTTTTTCCCCAGTCCATCACCTCAGGCTCTGCAGTGCCCACAGCTGCTGTTAATGCTGGGGGCATGACAGGGGCTGCTGCAGAACAGTGGGGCTTCCTGGTGCTGACAGCATGCTGCTGCCCTCCTGCACCTCACTTTCACATCACTGCAGCATGTGGAGACCTGCACTGCAGCCAGGTCTGCCGAGCTCCAGCTGCTCCTTGCAGGGAGCAGCACCAGTGAAGGCCCCGATCCCCTGGGAGGTGCCAAATCTCCCCCAGAGGAACCGTT